GTGTGTGTGTGTGTGTGTGTGTGTGTGTTATTTCTAATTAAACAGATACGTTAACAAATAAATAAACAAACAGACAAATAATTGAAAACTGTCAATGTAATGAACCATCTTATCGCCTTCTTTATAATAATCCATTCCATTAACATTATCCTTACAGTGATTCCCTTGGCGAGTCACGTGATCAGTAATGTCCCGGGTGTCTCTGTCGACCCAGCACAGACCAGACAAACAGCTGCCATGACGATGACGTCAGATATGCCCAGCAATAGAAGCAGACGACAGCAGCTCCTCCTCATTACATATGGCCGCAGCGGTTCATCATTCACGTCTGCTCTGATCAGAGCACATCCGGGCGTTTTTTATTTCTTCGAGCCTCTCTATCGTATCTACTTACAACATTCAGCACATGAAAAATCTGGATTTTCGGTCTGGGGGTAGGTGAAGACATTTTTCTCTTTTTAAAAAACTTTAAATTAATTTTGGCATCGTGGTAAAATCAGGCGCTTATCACAATGATGAAATCGAAAAAAAGACCCCTCGTCATTTTCTGCCGATTTGGCAAATTTTCTGGAATTTTTTAGGGGGGGGGGTGGCTCAACACGTGTAATGCCCATCTAAAAACACATTTCTGTGTAGAATTTACTCAAGAACATTAATAAATAAAAGCTCGATAAACGAACTCGAGCACTTTGTAAATACCATGATATTAGATTATTATCAATGATCTAAATAAAAACAATTGGAGCGCAGAAAATAATCTACTGTAGGTATCTCTTTACTCAACGGAATTTTCTACTCGACTGGCCGTGTATGACAGTCGGGTCAAGCAGTGTTTACACCTGAGCACTTCACAGGTCCGTGCAAAGTCATGGTCATGTCAGCTGCTGTGTTGTGAGTTAATTGAGTGTTCGGAGAGTCACACGATCTCCACTACATTAATTGGTCGCTTTTAATTTTAAGGACAAGCTGGCTAACCAAGATTTTTGGGGTTTCCAGAAATATTGACCTACACAAAAGTGGGCATTGCCCTACCTAGAGGATACGTTTCGTTTCATTGGTGGGTATATTTGTTTGGTTTTAGAGAAATCTCTTCGTGTTTTCTTTTTTTAAGTAGCTGGATAAGGGGCAAAAACTTTACCTTCAATTTTCTCAAAACAGCAATTTTCGGGATAGCCCCTTTGTGCTTAAAAGCGACCAACTGAGTGTTCAGAGAGTCACTACACTACATTATTTTTTTTCCCTTCCCACCCAGAGAAAATCGCCACGAGGAATCACAGGCCCTGATGGAGTCCTTTCTCCAGTGTGATCTTCACAACGCCACGGATATGGACAACGTGCAGAACAAGAACAGTAACGACACAAAGGACACTTACATCTGTCTAGCGAGCCGGGTATAACATATTATTACATGTATTATCTGTGTTTTGTTTTGTTTGTTTGTTTGTTTGTTTTGTTTGTTTGTTTATTTTTGTTTTCTTTTAGTAAGTTAGCAGGTTGGTCGTACTGTCAATTATTCTTTGTTGTTGCTTGGATGGTGGATTAACTGGGTGATTAATTTTGTGTCTTTCTTTTAGAAAACTTTCTATTGTTTGATTATAAATTTCTTTCCACGGATTATCGTTTGTTTGATTACCCGAATAGTTGACTGAATAATTGAATGGTTGACTGAATTGGTAGTAACTAGTTAGCTGTTTGTTTGTTTGGCTGGTTTTTGATGTTTCAAACCATAATCGGCAAGCCTTGTAAACTGGTACTTTGATACTTAGCCAGAGATTGTGTTTGTGTGTGTGTATGTGTGTGTGTGTGTGTGTGTGTGTGTGTGTGTGTGTGTGTGTGTGTGTGTGTGTGTGTGTGTGTGTGTGACAAACAATCTGCTATAGACAAAATAGAGAAGGTGAAAAATAATTAAACAAAACGTTTAACAACTTTAAAGTAATTTCTGCGTGAAGAAATGCACATTGTGCAGTATAACATTTACTTCTGAGATTTTCTCCCTACCCAAGTTCCACTCTTGAGGAATCAAAAACTGTTCCACAATTACGAGGGAAGTTTACACAGAACATTTGTTTACGCTATGAACCTGTCAGGGCTGGATCAGACATGCATCTACGATATGGCGAGCAGGGCATAAGCCCTGTGGCGAACTTTGTCCTCTAAGCCCCCCCC